ATACTTTCAAAACAAAATCCGATTTCAATTTAAATCTGCAAATAAAGAGTCAACAGGAACTCGCCGTGTTATTTTTGAGTTCTGATGTGTCAAATTCATTTTCTAAATCTATTTCTCTTTCTCTCCCTCCCTCCCTCTTTCTCTCCCTCTTCCCCTCCTCTCTCTCTCCCCCTTCCTCTCTCTTCCACCCCCCCCCCCTCTCTCTCTCTGGTGCTAAAGTAAAAGCACATAATAAAATGAAAAATACATTGCCCCAAAGATAATCGACGATACGAAAAAAACGTGACTAAACGAAAAAAAAAAAAACTGAAATTAGTTGATAATGTAAAAACAAACTGAACTTATGCTGAAAGTGTGATAATTTCTTTGCATATTTACAAAACACAGCTTCTCTGATTATGTTTAATTATGAAGCAATTCCCATTTATGGAAATTGGCTGGGAAAATATTTTATGAATGTGATGTTTATTCCTTCATTTATTTAATATTGAAAGAGTATTATGCTAACTCACTATAAATAGTTATACATTTGTAAAGTGAAAAACAATTTATGTAATACCAGTGTGCTTCCAAGAAATAAATAGGCATTCTTTCCAAGTGCCCAGACCCGGGATCACTTAGCTATTTCTTTTCCAAATGATTACATGTACCAATCAAACATCAGGTACACTCTTTCTTTCTCTCTCTCTGTCTGTCTGGGCTCTCTCCCCACCCCTGCCCCTCTCTCTCTATCTCTCTTCACCCCCCCCCCCCACCACCATCTCTATTTATCTCTCTCTATATGTGTGTGTGTTAAGGTCCTACGGTAATGCAAAGGATCGAATTTTACATAATATCCATTAGGTGTCTTATAATTAAAGTATATGACATAATTCACAGCGTACACTGTAACTTTTGTATGTATATGCATATACATTAGGCAAATAGTTCGGTATATAATGTTTATCGACCAGTTTCTTTCTTTCAGTCTTAATCTCTTTGCGAATCTTTCTTTTTCTACCCCCCCCCCCTCTGCCTCCTCCCCCTCTCTCAAGCGCTAAAGTAAAAGCATAGAAAACAAAAAAAAAAAAAAAAAAAAAAAAAGGAAAATATATTGTCCCAAGATAATCGACGAAATGAAAAGATAACCGAAAAGGGGGAAAACGCGGAAAACAGAGAAAAAAATAGTTTCAAATTTTGAAATAAGTTCATAATATAAAGAAACTGGACTCATTCTTAAAAATATATTCATTTTTTTATTTTTTATTTATTTATTATTATTATTTTTTTTTTTTTTTTTTTTTTTTGCATATTAGAAAATCGAACATCTTTTCTGGTTGTTTTTTTTTATCATCGAACATCTTTTCTGATTATGTTTTATTTATCATGGAAAATACCAATTTGTGGAAATTGCTACATAATGTTTATCGAACAGTTTCTCTTTCCTTCAGTCTGTCTCTTAGCGAATCTTTCCTTCCCAGTTGCCAGAAATAAAACTTGAAATTAGGAAAACAGAAACGCAGTCACCTTTCCTTTTCACTTCAACACTTTATTTCATTTACTGTGTGTGCCTTAACAATTCCATTATAAAAGATGTGTTACTGCTCATCAAGTGCCCAGTGAACCGGGGACCTTTAGATCTTCAGTCTAACGCTCTCCCAACTGAGCTCCTTAGGATTATGTACTCCTATATATTTGACAAATTAGTCCTTACGTACTAATTATGGAGAAAAAAATCCAATTTCAATTTAAAGCTCTCTTTCTCTCTCTCTCTTCCACCCTCCCTCCTCTCTCTCTCTCTCTCTTTCCAAGTTCGATACATAATGTTTGTCAACCAGTTTTCTCTTTCACTCTTAATCTTTTGCGAATCTTTCCTTCCCAGTGGCTTGAAATAAAAATTTTAAATTAGTAAACAGAATCACAGTCACTTTTCCTTATCACTTCAGCATTTTATTTCGTTTAATGTGTGCCTCCAATACATACCATTATAAAGAATTGACTGCCCTTCAATTGCCCAGACCCGGGATCGAACGGGGACCTTTAGATCTTCAGTCTAACGCTCTCCCAACTGAGCTACCTAGGCTTAGAAACTATTAACTTATCTATCAAACTGGTTGTTAATTACTAATCCTAAAAAAAAAAAAAAATCCGATTTCAATTTAAATCTACCAATAGAGTCAACAGGAACCGCCGTGTTAAATTCATTTTCTAAACCTATTTCTCTTTCTCTCCCTCCCTCCTCCCCCCTCTCTCTACTACTCTCTCCCCTTCCTCTTTCTCTTTTTCTCCCCCCCCCTCTCTCTCTCTCTTTGGTAAAGTAAAAAGCATATAAAACAAAACATGAAAAATACATTGCCCCTAGATAATCGGCGATACGAAAAGGAAAAAAGCGTGGAGAAGAAAAAAAATCATAACCTGAAATAAGTTCATAATGCAAAATAAACTGAAGTAATGCTTAAAGTGTGATAATTTCCTCGCATAAGAGTATTATGCTAACTCACTATCAATCGTTATACATTTATAAGTGAAAACATAATTTAGTAATACCAGTGTGCTTTATAGTTAAATGGAAATTCTTTCCAAGTGCCTAGACCCGGGATCGGCCTTTAGATCTTCAGTCTCACTTAGCTATCAAGGCTTAAAGCAACAGTGAGATTCTTTTTCCAAATGATCACATGTACTAATCATACAACGGGTATATGTGAATGCTAACGCGCAATGTTAAGGCTTTTCCTCTCTCTCTGTCTATCTGGCTCTCTCTGTCCCTCTCTTCCTCTCCCTCCCCTCTTCTTTACCCCCTCTATCTCTCTCCCTATTTCCCTCTCTCCCACTCTCTCTATCTCTCTCTTCATCCCCTCCCCCATCTCTCTATCTCTCTATGTATGTGTGTGTGTATGTTATGGTGCTACAGTAATGTACAAGATCGAATTTTACATAATATCTATTAGGTGTCTTACAATTAAAGTAAATGGCATAATTCACAGCGTACACTGTACTTATGTATGTATATTCATGTACATTAGGCAAATATTTCGGTATATATAATTTTATCGACCAGTTTTTTTCCTTCAGTCTTAATCTCTTTGCGACTCTCTCTTCCCAGTTGCCAGAAATAATACTTGAAACACAGTCACCTTTCCTTCTCACTCCAACATTTTATTTCGCTTACTGTGTGCCTTAATAATCCCATTATAAAGAATTGAAACTGCTCATCAAGTGCCCAGACCCGGGATTGAACCGGGGACCTTTAGATCTTCAGTCTAACGCTCCCAACTGAGCTACCTAGGCTTATGTACTTCTAAAATATTCGACAAATTACTCCTTACATACTAATTATAGAAAAAAAAATCCGATCTCAATTTAAAGCTGTCAATAAGGAATCAACAGGAAACAGGAATATTTCAAATTCTTTTTATAAATCCCTCTGTCTGTCTCTCTCCCACCCTCCCTCCCTCCTCTCTCTCTTTTCCAAGTTCGATACATAATGTCTGTCAACCGGTTTCTTTCCTTCAGTCTTAATCTTTTGCGAATCTTTCCTTCCCAGTGGCCTGAAATATAACTTGAAATTAGTAAACAGAATCGCAGTCACTTTTCCTTCTCACTTCAGCATTTTATTTCGTTTACTGTGTGCCTTAATAACCCCAATACATACCATTTCTAAACAATTGTGACTGCACAGACCCGGGATCGAACCGGGGACCTTTAGAACTTCAGTCTAACGCTCTCCAAACTGTGCAACCTAGGCTTAGAATCTATTAATATATCTATCAAATTGGTTGTTAATTACTAATCCTTGGAAAAAAAAAGATTTCAATTTAAATCTGCCAATAAAAAGTAAATAGGAACTCGCCGTGTTATCTGAAAGATGAAAAGTCCTGATGTGTCAAATTCATTTTCTAAATCTCTTTCTCCCCCCCCCCCTCTCTCTCTCCCTAGTGCTAAAGTAAAAGCATATAAAACAAAAAATATGAAAAATACATTGCCCCAAGTTAATCGACGATACGAAAAGGAAAAAAGCCTGGAAAAGCGTTTTTTTTTCAAAACCTGAAATAAGTTGATAATGTAAACAAACTGAACTGATGCTTAAAGTGTGATAATTGCCTTGTATATTTACAAAATCGAACACAGTTTTTCTGATTGTGCTTTATTTATTATGAAAGAATACCAATTTGTGGAAATTCCTGAAAATAGTATTATGAAAGTATTTATTTAGTTAGTTATTATTGAAAGAGTATTATACTAACCAACGATCAATTGTTATACATTTGTAAGTGAAACATAATTTCGTAATACCAGTATGCTGTCAAGATAGATTGTCTTTCCAAGTGTCCGGACCTGGGATCGGCCTTTAGATCTTCAGTCTCACTTAGTTATCAAGGCTTAAAAGCCACAGTGAGATTATTTTCAAAATTATCTCGTGTACTAATCATGCATCAGGTACAAGTGAATGCTAACGCCGTTAAGGCTATTTCTCTCTCTTTCTCTCTCTCTCACTCTCTTCCTCTCTTTCTCCTCCCTCCCATTCTTTCTCAATCTTTATCTCCCCCCCCCCCCAACTGTGTGTGTGTATGTATGTGTGTGTGTGTTAAGGTGCTACAGTAATGCACAAGATCGAATTTTAAATAATACCTATTAGGTGTCTTACAATTAAAGTAAATGACATAATTTACAGCGTACACTGTACTTATGTACGTGCATGTACATTAGGCAAATAGTTCGATACATAATGTTTATCGAAC